CATGTAGGGCGATAATAATGATGGTGATGATGAGAACAGTAACAGTTATGGTACTAATAATAACAATTATAACAGTTAAAGTAGTGGTAGCTGTAATAATGATAATGATAATACAGTAACAATAATAGTAATAGTAGTATGATAAGAGCAATAATAGAAGTAATAATTAGAAATAATGAAAATACTATTGACTAAATCCTTAATAAATTAATTAATAACAAAAAATGCTTCCCGAAAAGGCCAAGCTCCTCAGGGTCCTTCTCCCTCGACGCTCCCTTCAGATGCGGTTCCTCGCCTCGTCCTCCTCCTGGCTCTCGCCGTCGCCTTCGTCGGCGCCAAGTCCTTGGCCTGCTGTGGCGGCGGAGGTCACCACGGCGGTCACGGAGGAGGCAACGGAGGTCACCATGGAGGTCATGGCAGAGACAAAGCCAGTTATGGATAAGCATGGGGTGGAGGAAGGCTTCGGAGGCAGGACTGGAGGTGGTGAGTACTCCGAGGGAGATGGCGTGTGGAAGACTCCCTGACCCGCTTCATCCGGCGGAAGCACTCCCTCATTTCTCCTCCTCATAGCGGTTCCTCTGGCGCTGGCCTGCAGCCTTCTTCTCTGGCTTGCATTTGCAATATTTTTGCAATCATCGGCATTGGTTATGATTGACATGTATGGAGTGGAATTTCCTTCTACGTGTTAGTTTACCTGATTTACCATATATATATATATATATATATATATATATATATATATATATATATATATATATATATATATATATATATATATATATATATATATATATATATATATATATATATATATATATATATATATATATATATATATATATATATATATATATATATATATGTGCACGTCTTTGTTTGATGATTATTGTGTCCGTTAGAGAGAGGAAAAGTCTTAACCCGCAAAGACCACATGCAGACTGCACGCTGAAAATATTTATTTATTATTTATTTTTTCCAAAATTATATATAAAGGGAAAAAACTATCTAACGAACTAAAATGAAAACTAATGAAACACTAAAATACACATTTGTAATAATGAAAATAAATATATATTCGCAGAAATTCTCATTTCACGCTGCATTGTTGAAAATATTTTACATTTTACGAGAAATTGACATTTTTTTCAGGCGGAGGAGGCTTTGGCGGAGGCTTCGGAGGCTGTGAGTAGAGTAGGAAACCATTAGTTGTAATCATTACGGTTGTTATTATCAATATAATCAATTATGCCATTATGGTTGATAGTGATATTATTATCTATTCTTGCTGTTGTTGTTATTCCTAGTAATGGAATGTCACTTTTGTTTATGTTTTCTCTGTTGTCGTTAATCCATGATCACAGCTCGTTTTTTTTTTCAGGAAACTTCAGAGGAAACAGTGACGAGGAACACGTGACCAACATGTCGTGCTTGCAGTGGTTTTCCTGAATTTTCCCTCTAATGGTCTTTCTCCGATTTTATATATATATATATATATATATATATATATATATATATATATATATATATATATATATATCACTTCAAATAAATCAAATAAACTCATGTGTTTTTAATCTTATTTCATATTGCACCATGAAAGTGGAATTTGGAATTAAATTAATCCGAACAACGGTTGATCAACAATTGGGGAAGATGCACGTCAACAATGCACTCGTTGCCAGATGTACGGAAATAAAGTAATAATTGCCACAAGCACCACAATAATTCAGATGATTTTCTTAAAAAATGAACACCATTTTTCGTGAATTACATTGTGCTATTAACAACGTCGCCACGTCGCGACAGGAGCCCCGCCCAGTACGAGAGGAACGGTGGGTGGGGGGCGAGTGTGGTTCGGTGACCCCCTCCATTATCCCCCCCCCAGGCAACCCACATCACGACCGCCCCGCCGGGGCAGTCCCCCCTAGCGTCCGCCAGGCTCCCGCTCCTGCCGGACGGATGGAAGGCCCTGTCTCTGGTCGTGTTGGTTGCGGGCCTGCGCCGCCAACTATAGGGAGAGGCGGTTGGGTGCGGGGCCGCGGGTGGCGGGGCGGGCTGCGGGCGGGGCTGGGAGCGCGGGCCGCCGGAGCCGAGCGCCGCCCTTGGCCTGCTGTGTGGCGGCGGCGGCGGCGGCCGCGCGTCTCCCACTCGGTCCGTTCCCCCCGTGCCGCCGCCTGGCCTGAGCGGGCGGGCGGCGCGGCGGCCTGCCCAGCGAGGCCGTTCAGCCTAGGGGGGTGAGAGGAGATTGTGGGCCTGGGGGCTGCGGTGGCGGCGGCGCCTCCTGGGTTGGCCTGCCAGCCACGTCTTCCTTGGCTGGCCAGGGGACGGCTTTTTCCCTACCCTTCGGCCCCCCGGCCCCTCTCGGCCGAGGGCGGCGGGCCCTGGCCTGGCCTGGCCGCCTGCCTCGTCTTCCTTAGAACAGGGGTTGGCTCGGGCTTACCCCATCGGCCCCTGGCGCCCTCTCGGGCCGAGGGCGGTGGCGTGGGATTCGGGCGTGGCCCTGCCGCACCCCCGACGGGGCCTTGCCCCCGGACGGGCAAGGGCGGGCCCTGGGCGCGGTCGTGGTGGCTGAGGGCCTGCGCCGACAACGACAGGGGGACTGCCTCGGCTGCGGGCGGCGGGGGGCGACCCCCGCCTCGAGCCCGCTGCTGCTGCGGCCGCCGTCGGGGCCGGCCCCCGCCCCCGGTTTGGCGGCTTGGGCTTCCTTTCCCCTTTCCCCTTCGTCCCCGCGCCCTCGGGGCGAG